TAACTAAAAAGAGAATTTGATATGAATACCTTAGGAAAAAAATGTTATCTCGACCTACGGTTCGAGCACTCGGAGAATGAGATTTTTATTCATCGATCAATTTGTATAGAAAAAGGTTCTACAATGATTCTATATAAAGATCATTCATTGACTAACCCAATGGTAGTTCATTCACTTGATATCCAAAAAGATCCTTTTCGACCTCGAGAAGATAACGAAGAACTACTTGGTCTTGAAGTACCATATCTTAGTGCCATCGGTGCATCAATATATATTACTAATAATACTCAACTCGATATGGTCTTTTCTATAATTTATTAGCAAGTCATAGTTTTCCTTCAATATGGAGATATTGAAATAAAGTTAAACATATACTACGTTATATTCGAGGAATAATTGATATAGGCTTATATTACTCCAATAAATCAAAGACAAGATTAATTGATTATGCGGATGTAAGTTATTTATCTAATCTATACAAAGCTCGATCACAATCGGTTATATATTTACATATAGAGATATAGCTATATCTTGACGTTCTATGAAGCAAACTATAGTTGTCACATCTTTAAATCATACGTAAATATCAATTCACGATGCAAGTCAAGAATGTATTTGGCTAAGATCAACGATCCATCATATCCAAGAGACATGCGGTTTATCTATCGACAAAAAAAATTGTAACAACTTTATATGAGGATAATGCTACTTGCATAACTCCATTAAAGGAAGAATATATCAAAGTGACAATCCAACGATTTGTTCACTAAGGTATTACCTACCATAACTTTTGAGAAGATGATTAACGGGAGGAGGCCAAAGGCTAACACTAAGATTAATGTGTTTAAGGAATATCGTACTCTTTTACCTTCACTAAGATTTTTTCCCATTGGGTTTTTTCCTAGTAAAGTTTTAACGAGGCATGTTCCTTGTACGATAGACATTCAAGGGGAGTGTTATAAAATAATGAATGTCCATGACCATTTCATATTTTCACTACCCATTATTCTTAATGTGATTCAATTCATTATTTAGTTTGAGAAATTGAAAGGGTAATGTAATTCATGCATTTTTTTATAGCTTATAGTCCCTTTCAATTCTCTCCTTAATCTTGAAACCTATAAATAGGTTTGATTGTTCATTAGTTGATGTATAAGTTTTCTAGAGAGAATAAGAGAAACTTTGAAGTTCTTATCACTTATATCCATATTATAGTGATTTCATTTTCTTGTCATGCTTTCCTTCAATTCTCCTATTATTTATATTTCTTTATAACATTAATAAATTATTATAAATTAAAAAAAATTAATACATCCAAAATACACAACAAATATAAAAAAAATGCATAATAGATAAAATGATATAATTTAATTAATACATAAAAATTATTTAATTAATAATTTTTCTAAACATATAATAAAATTTTGATAGAGTCTCCCTTGTAAATTACACATGTTTCGATTAACATATACTCCAAATGATCACACAAACAACAAATTAAATCAATCAATAATCAATTTATGCATACCGAGACCAATGATTATTTTAGATACTCCATCAAAAGTAAATCTCAAACTCTTCCTTTCAGCTCTATCATAGAGCATTGAACCAACCTTATTTATCCTCAATTCCTAGGTTTCCAATCCCTCGGGTTTGATACAATACGATGTATCTCGACACACTTCAATAATTATTTACGAAATAATTAAACTAATTAATTCTAATTCTAAGTTTAATAAAATTAAATTGAAAATAACAATAAATTTCTAAGTTTTAATATAAATAAAGTTTTAATTCAACCAATTAAAAAATTTAACCTAATTAATTAATTAAATATAAATCTAATTAACTTAATTAATTCTAATTCTAACCAAATTAAATTTAAAATAACAATAAACTTCTAAGTTTTAATATAAATGAAATTTTAATTCAATCAATTAAAAAAATTAACTTATTTAATTAATTAAATATAAATATAATTAAATTAATTAATTTTAATTTTAACCAAATTAAATTTAAAATAACAATAAACTTCTCATTTTTATTATAAATAAACTTTTAATTCAACCAATTAAACAAAATTAACCTAATTAATTAATTAAATATAAATCTAATTAACTTAACTAATTCTAATTCTAACCAAATTAAATTAAAATAACAATAAACTTCTAAGTTTTAATATAAATAAATTTTTAATTCAACCAATTAAACAAATTAACCTAACTGATTAATTAAATATAAATGCAATTAACTTAATTAATTCTAATTCTAACCAAATTAAATTTAAAATAACAATAAACTTATCAGTTTTGATATAAATAAAGTTTTAATTCAACCAATTAAAAAAATAACCTAATTAATTAATTAAATATGAATCCAATTAACTTAGTTAATTCTAATTCTAACCAAATTGAATTTAAAATAACAACAAACTTCTAAGTTTTAATATGAATAAATTTTTAATTCAACCAATTAATTAATTAATTATAAATCTAATTAACTTAATTAATTCTAATTCTAACCAAATTAAATTTAAAATTAACAATAAACTTCTAAGTTTTAATATAAATAAAGTTTTAATTAACCAATTAAACAAAATTAACCTAATTAATTAATTAATTTTAATTCTAACCAAATTAAATTTCAAATTAACAATAAACTTCTAAGTCTTAATATAAATAAAGTGTTCATTCAAATAATTAAAAAAAATTAACCTAATTAATTAATTAATTTTAATTCTAACCAAATTAAATTTCAAATGAACAATAACCTTCTAAGTCTTAATATAAATAAAGTGTTAATTCAACCAATTAAACAAAATTAACCTAATTAATAAATTAAATATAAATCTAATTAACTTAATTAATTCTAATTCTAGCCAAATTAAATTTAAAATAACAATAAACTTTTAAGTTTTAATATAAATAAAATTTTAATTCAACCAGATTAAAAAAAATATCCTAATTAATTAAATAAATATAATTAACTTAATTAATTCTAATTCTAACCAAATTTAATTTGAAAATAATAATTAATTAACAATTTATAATATAAATAAAGTTTTAATTCAACCAATTAGACATAATTAACCTATTGAACAAATTAAATATAAATTTAATTAACTTAATTAATTCTAATTCTAACCAAATTAAATTTCAAATAATAATTAATTAAAATTTTCTAACATAAATAAATTTTTAATTGAAAAAATAAAACTTAATTAACCTAATTAATAGATTAAATATAAATCTAATTAACTTAATTAATTCTAATTCTAACAAAATTAAATTTAAAATAACAATTAATTAGGAATTTCTAATGTAAATAAACTTATAATTCAACTAATTAAACATAATTAACATGATTAATTAATTAAATTATAAATCAAATTAACTTAATTAAGAAAAATTAAACATTTAATTAACAAAATTGTAATTAATTAAAAAATTTAGTCTAATTCAACCAATTAAACATAATTAACCTAATTAATTAACTAAATTTAAATGAAATTAACTAATTAAATTTACTAATTGAAAATAAATTCTGATTAAATTTAAATTACAATTAATTAACTAATTAACCGTACAATTAACAAAATTTAACAATTTAAGAAATTAAGCTAACAATTAACAAAAATTAAAAATTTAACAATTAAATCAACACAATAACAATTAAATATATACACAATCATAAATCAAGTAATTAAACTTAAATTAGCCTAACAATTACAACAAATTACTAATTTTAATTAAGGAAATAAAAGAGGAAAAAAATACCTAATTCGAATGGAATTACATAAGATGAGGGAAGAAAAAATGAAGGTTTTTTTGGGAGAAAAGATCTTGGAGCGGGTGTAGTATATTGAGAGTGAAGAAGTGGAGTTTGGTGATGGTTTGGAGGGGTGAGAGAATGACGACAGCAGCTGGAGAAGAGAGGGACAAGAAAATGGGGAGGAGAAAGAAGAAGGGGGCTAAATTAGGATTGAAAAATAGAGACGGACGCGATCCCCTCGCCGATTCGTAGCTATTTAGCGACGGATACTTAAGTCCGTCTCTAATCCATATCAAAATATTGGCCAATTTTGCATAACTAGCCATCCATTTTTCACATATAGAGACGGACGTAAGTACCACCGCTAATCTGTCGCAAATTTGGTAGTATCCATTGCTAGTTCGTCGCAAATCGAGTGGTTTTGTCTTTTAAAAAATCCATCCAATTTTGCCCAAATTCTCACCTTTAGCGGCAGATTTTTTCGTCTAAATTACAAGGAATGTGTCCTTTAGTGATGGAATATTCATCGCTAAATCTCGACATTGAAAATAGCGATGAATTTTCTATTTCATCGCTATTTTTCTTAATAAATCCATCGTTAAACTCGTCTCTAAGACACTTAAAAAGATTTTATCGTCAAATTTAGCGACGGATTAGTATGTTATTAATAAACCATCGCTATTATGTCATTATTTACTTTCTATTTAGCGACGAATATATGTCCGTCACTAATTTCCGTTGCTATTTAGTAAAATTCTAGTAATGATAATAGACAAAATTATAAATGTAAAAAGGTGTTGAAAACTTGCCAAATTATATATATATTAGAGATAAAAAAGAAAATATATTTTTGGGTTAGCTTACTCATCAATCGATAGAGATTTTTTTTTTTTGAACGATTTTAGACGTAATTCTCTCTCTCTCTTTTCTTTTTTTCTTTTTTTTTAACTTGGTACATTTTAAAAAAAAAATTTACTAAATGCTCACTTCGAAATTTGAACCGTACAAGTTTCTTTAACCACCTGAACAATTGCTTTCAAGTTATCTAATGCTCATACCGAGGCATGTAGCTAGGCCAATGCGATAACTTGTCACACTAATTTCTTTCATCTTTCCCTCACCACCCCCTTCCTATATAAACCCTCGTGTTCTCTTCCAATTGCCAACCAACGCAAACACCAACACCAACACACTCTTCTTTGTTCTTCCATAACCCAAATAGTTTAAGAATGGAAACCGTTGCTGAGAACGTTACCGTCAAGGCTCAGACATCAATGCAGGAGAAGGTGAATGGCATTGATCATCAGCACAAGGGTACTAATGGAGTTAACTGTGAGAATGGAACAAAGGTTGTGGAAGAGTCAACTGTGGAGAAAGTTCAGGAAACAGTTGGAAAAGAAGCTGAAGGCGAGTTGCCAAAGGAAGAGGTAGCGGTTGAGGTTGAAGCCAAGACAGGGGTTTCCTTCCCAGTTAAGTTGGATGATGGGAAGCAGTTGATGAGCATCGGCTTGAGGAAGAAGTCCATGCTTGGCATGGGCATCAAGATCTATAGCTTTGGTACGTTTGATATTCTACAAGAACCCTTGCTTCTTCAATTCAATCACATTAATATTGCCATTATTTTTCAATTTGCAGGAATGTATGCAGATAATGAGAAACTGAAAGACCTTATGAGGTCAAAGATTGGAAAGGCTCTAGGAAAACCGACAAAGGACATGTATCAGGAGGTAATTGACAGTGACGCAGCCATGATGGTGAGGCTGGTAATAGTATTTTCTAGCCTCACAATGAACATGGTGAGAAAGAATTTTGACGAAGGTCTAGGAGCATCCATTAAAAAGCTGACTGGTGGAAAAAAGAATGAAGAGCTCACCAGCAAGTAAATGTCTTTTCCTAATTGTTTCAACTACAATGTTTTGTAGATGGTTATAACTAAAATTGATCTCTTCTTTGTCTTAATCATAGGGTCATGGGTGCAGCTTCAGATGACATAAAGTTAACTACGGGTTCTGTGATTGAGATTTCTCGTCTCCCAGGATATATTCTTCAAACAAAAGGTGAGAATACTGAAATATTTTGTAATCACATAATATATGCCCACTAGATATAAGATGCCGAAGCTTTATCTATCTATTTATTTATCTTTTGTGCAGTGATGGATGAAGTGGTTAGCAAGGTTGAGAGTGAACTTCTCTGCAGGGCATACACTTACATGTATCTGGGAGATGATCCCTTTGACAAGGACGCCAAGGAAAAATTTGGGATGTCCCTGCTTTCACTCTTCTGATCACTCAAGAGGAACACGTTGCTGGACATGCAGGAATAAGGTCAGAGTGCACTGCCTAGCCACCAAGCATTTGGTACAATAAGAAAGCTTATGGTGAGATTGTAGCTGATTCATCATCGAATCCAAGCACCGTCTATCCCCACTCCATGATGATATTGCAGAAACTTCTCATGAATTTGATGTTTCTAGCTATAAGATTTCGAGAAATTTAAAATAATTTCTGTATCACAGCCACAGCACCACTCACTCTTTCAAATTTAGCTATATAACCATATTTTTATAGAGAATACTAAGGAACGTCTCATCATCACAGAGAGGCAACATCAAAATATCTTGTTGCTCAACCATGTGACAGTGTGATCCCAAAATAATAAGCCACTATAACAGTTTGTTTAATCTCACTTTAGAAATCCTATATGACACAACAGAGGCAATATACAGAAAAGCAAGAGCATCCATATTGTACATTAAATAAAACGGTTGACATTGCTAACAGTAAACCTCCAATTAGTGCATGAACGAATCATTGAAAGCCATAGAGAACCCTTCGAGGATCCAACTGGCCACTGCAATAACTTGATGACACAGTAGAGAGTTCTTGGTAGCCCTTCCACTCCTCAAAAGGTTTTAAGACAACTGGGGTTTCAACGGAAGCAGAATCCACACACAACATGCTTTTGTAGTCTTCATCCCCCATATCTGGGAGAGCCTTGGCCTTTCTGTCCCAAGGATTCCACATAGCTGCATGTTAATCATATAAAAAACGAAAGTAACACAGCGAGTAATTAGGATCATGGTGACTTGAACGTTTATCCTCACAGATAGAACATCAAGAAAACATTTCAGAACCTGCATCGGGCATGCCATCTTTCCGCATGACAAAGGTTCTTTTTTTCTCATGGTCTATGATAGCAATCTTTGAGGGGGTGCTCAAATATACCCTGTCAACCTAAAAATGACTCGATTCTATTAGAATTGCATGGGAAAAAGGTCATGCTACAACACATGTGAATTCAAATGAAAGAACAAAGTTGAAACTCATATGAAATCACAATTCATTCTGTGGCTGGAAATTTCTATTATTAGTTTCCCTGCAAAAGATTCAAATCCAAATTGCAAGTAGAAGAAAATATAGTACCTCGCCATCAAAGGTAATCGCATCTGCCTGTTCAGTGAACCTTTCTCTGTGCATTAGATTATCTAAGTAATCAAGCGTCTCCAATCCCTCAACTCGCACTTCGCTGCAAATGAAACAGCATCATGCAACCCTCTGAAAAGAATAGCAATGTAATAGCTACCAAATTCATGTTCTGTGAACTCCCTTTAAAATGAGCAAAAAAAAAAAAAACCCTTAGGTTGATAGCAAAATCATGTAGACTACAGAAATATGCAAAATCCAGAATGAATAGGACTGGAATTAAGAGGGCAGAAGAAACAGTAACATACTTTAAGTCTATGTCTGTCATTGCAAACCAAGCAATTGCTTTAGAATTTATGAAACAAACCTGATATCTGATACAGATAAGTAGTTACGCAGTGCAAAAGTGAAGGAGAAGGGCTTGTTATCTGTATTTCTCACACGAGCTATCAAACTGAGCTTGCTAGCACTGAGAGTGATACGAAGCCGCAGCTCAAAGCTGCAGAATACAATGAGATTCATAAGTTCATCCAATTGATGATACCCATGGACATGTAGTCTTATTCTATACGGGGTACAAAATTTGCAAGCATACCTACGAGGCCAGGTTTTCAGATCCTCTTCTGTAGACTTCAATATCAGATCCACTGACGACTGATTGTTTGTTGGAGGCAGAGGTGAAGGATCATTGTCCAATGACCACAATTTGTTCCTTGCAAATCCATGTCGCTCCAATGAACCAAGATTTCCAAACTGAAATTGCAGCGTGGACTAAGAAAGTATAATCTCAACAAGACATGATTTTGCTTCATTCCTTAGATCACAAACCTGTGGAAAGCAGACAGAAATACCTCCCCTGATGGCTTTTGGTGGCTTCCAAATTGCCTGCTGAGAAAGTAATATCTCATAAACAGGATATCAAGGAAGCTATAGCTGTATGTGGCTTCTATACAGTTAAGAACTCAAACAATAATAGCTAAGTTTGAGACCAACTCAAGGTTTGCCATTTTGAATAAGAACAGCAGTTCACTACTACCTCATGAGTAATGACAAAAGTTTGGATTGCATATGTACCAAGAGAAATATAAATATTGGAATGAAGAACGGATAACTACATCCCAAAACAATTCAAAAAAGGTTAACCTTCTACCTACTATTTGTCCTTTCTTGCAGTCATATATTGAGATAGGCCAATTAACCCTTTTACCATCATATTGACAGGGTTGCTAGATCGACATCAAGCTATTATTCTAAAACTGCAGGAATCAACTGGTTTATTAATCGCTAAACAACAGAGTGAAGACCAACATCTAAATCAATAGTAATGCCATCACAAATTGAATTATTGACAGAGGAACATCCATAAATCAGCAATTTGTCATTTCTAAAATCTAAATAAGGTTCATGTGAAGTATAAATACATTTGTAGCCTCAGAGGTAATTAAACATGCAGAAGAAGAACTGGTCACCTTGCTGCTCATAAAAAGTAGGTCCTCTCTTCGTTCATTCTTCCATGAAACAAGCTGCCCTCCATACAAAAGCACCTGAAACCATTTTTAGGAGAAGAGTTTTTTACTTCTGAAGTTAACAATTCTATTTCCTTCTTTTGCAACATGTTAAGATAAGAGCAACTTCATTATGTTTTATGGTTTTAACAGAAATCCTACACACGAGCAGATTACTCTGTTCATTTGTACAGGGTTAGGCTCGCACGTACAGCCCTCAAAGAATTCTTTAACTTGGTGAGATTAGAACTCAAGAATGCACAAGGCGTTTACCTTAGCCCAATTTGTACACTGAGCCAACCTCTAAAAGTTAACTTTCTTCCTTTTTTTTTTTTTTTTATTTTAATATCACTTTCAAGATTGCGAATTGTAAAGGATAGGAAAAATGAAGATTGCTGCATATTCAATTGAAATTCATTATTTTAAATGACTCTTTTATTTTACTCCTGCTTAATCTAATCTTTTTTTATTCAGCTGTTGAAAATGTTTCAACATAATTCACTGCAAAGCATAGATTATCCAACTTAATATGTTCAATTTGCTGGCATAATTATTTTCATAATCAAGTCTATACTAATTTCAATTCTGTATTAGATTATAGAAACATCATCTACAAGCAACCAAAAGGGGGGAAAAAAAGAATAAACAAGAATTCAAAGAGAAAGGGTAATAACCTCAGCAGAAGAGCCGGTAGGGTCAGTCAAAATAATCCTCCGCAATCCATCAGCATCATGAACCATATTCATCGGCATGGGTTTCAGCCTCAACCTTGCCCTTAGGCTACTCACTATTGGGTTCACTTTCTCTTTCCTCCACTCCAGCTATAACACCAACAAATATGAAAGGAAAAACAAAACAAACGAAAAAAAAAAAAAATCTCACTCACCCACCACAACTAAACAAACAAGAAACCAAGCTAACATAGTATATATACACAGATACAGATAGATAAAAATAAAAAAGGAGATTGGGATAGGATAAAAGAAAGAAAACTTACGTTTGTTGTTGTTAAGATTTGTTAAACTAATAGTAAAAGAAGATTTGTAATCGGCTTCGAGTTCAAAGAACAGCCCACCAACTCTCAGCTCATGACAAGTTCACACATATACTAAAAGAAGTATATATATATATATATATATATATATATAAAGGTGACAGGTAAGGGCCATTAAAAAAAAATACCATATGCTTCTTCTCTCCGTGCGTGTGTGTGTGGGAGAGAGAGAGAGAGAGATGGGACAATGATGGGACCTTGGTGAAGAGAAGAGAAAAGGAATAAAGGATATCCAAAGAAAGGAAGCCAACTAGTTTGCTTTTGTCATAGGATGCTCTGTTTCGTTCATGTCTCTTTCAGTTAAACCAGTGTCGCTGTGTTTCTCTTGTGTTGTCTTGATTCTTGTTTGCTTTCCAAACTCCTGTTCTTTACTTAATTTTGGGCTGCCACCCAAGTGATTTCAGTCGACTTTTACGTAGCAAATTTAGTCAAGTTTAGATGAGGACCAGCCGTTGATTTTGATGTTCCTCTTTTTATTTATATTATATATATTAGCTAACAAGCTTTGTTGCCACATTTATTATTTAATTGTATCTTTAATATATTTTATAATTTTTCATGGATTTGTTTAATAGTTAAAAAAATATATATATGTTTATTATAAAAATCCAATATGATAGAGAGGGTGTAGCTTTAAAAATTTTTTAAGAAGAAATTTAATTTTGATTAACATACAAATCGGCATAAACATACCTTTCATATCAGATAAAATTTATAAAATTTTTGTATAATTTTCTTACTAATATAGTTAAAATTATATTGCAATATTTGCTAATTACTTTTATCTATATGAGTCCTTACTCAAATAAAATTTGTACATAGAACAAAAATACATGATGTGAACAAATTTTTTATTGAATGCTCAATTAATTTTTAACACTATTAATATTAACATTATAGTTTTTATGAATGTTTTTTTATTTTAAAGAGTTTCTTTTTATTATACATGAGACAAATATTAAAGAATATATACGAATAAAAATATTATGCTAATTTTAGACTTAGAAGTCTTTTTTAATACTATATAGTTTGCAAAAAAAAAAAAAAAAGTAAAAATTCATTTCATATAAAAGAATAAAAAACAACTAAAAACAATAATAGAGGATCCCTTGTGAAAAAACAACTAAAGTTCACTTTAATAATTTGTTGAATTTTAATTTTAATTTATAATTTTTATGTAATTTTATGGAGTGAATAAAAAAACAAAAAAAATGTGGACTCATCACTCCAAGCTAGGGATGGCAATTAGGTTGGGTATAAAGTGAATATCTGCTTTATCCGATCCAATAAATATTCATTAAAAACACCCAATAAGTATTGAAATGAATAAACATAAAAAAAAAAATACTTATCTACTAATATAATTTCAGAGTATGGATACTAGCACTTTATTTTATTAATACCCATTAATGTATTTTGATTTTTTATTAACATGTAGGAATTTAATTGAATAAATTTTAAAAATTAAGGATCGAAATATTTTTTTCAAAAACTTTAAGGATTGAAAAAACTTATCAATAAATAACCAAAATGCAAAAAAATAAATTTTAAGTATCAAAAAAACTTTCTTTTGAAAATTATGAAGACTAAAATGAATATTTTTAACAAATTATTTTTAACGTATATTAAATGGGTATTAAATGAGTGAGTAAATTAATGTGTGTTGAGTATGAGATAGATAAAATTTTATTTAATAATTTTTTAATGGATAATATTTTTTTTATATGAATAGAGTAAAAAATTGAATTAATTGATTGAATACCGCTATATTGTCATCCCCGCTCCAAGCAAAAAAGTGCACAAGCCACAGACAATAATGGTGCCTAGCATGATCAGATTCCAATTAATAGCCAAATGATGGTAAACAGGGTTCTATCCGACGAGGATAAATGTTTTGGAGAAGTTGAAAAAGGGAAGCTTGGTGTAATTAAGGCAATGCACAAAAACTAGGAGAGAATAAGGAGTATGTTCTAAAAACAAGGTAGTTTTAGTTTTATTTATAATATAGTATTTTATGCTTTATAGACTTTATCACTTGTACATGTCATTAAAAATATATATATATATATATTTAAAAATTTTAACTTGGAAAACTAAATAATGAAGTGGAAAGAGAAGGTATAGGATTTTTGCTCTTGATATATTTATATTCTCCTTCTCCAACTAAATTCTTTTTTACAACTTTCTTTTTTAAAAAAATTATATTTTACGTCATTAGAAATATTATCCCAACTTAGTATCGATAGCCATGCTATAAATCTATACTCTTTGTAAATTTGTAAAGAAGAGTATTAAAATTATTTTGTTCAAATCAAATTGTTTTTTAATTTTTATAATATTAAATATGTCAATTGTTTTTTAAAATCCAGTTAGAAAAAAAAAATGAAAATAGGAGTAGATTGCAGACGAGATTCATGAACCTAGTAGCAAATTCAACAAATTTTTTTTTCTCTTAATGGATTCTCCTACACATGCATCAAATAGATATTTCTCACAAAAATATTAGTATTTTAATCTCATGTACAATTATGTTGGTAAAAAATAGTGTACAAATAATAAATAGCATATAAATATCTCAATATACAAGCTAGTTAGACAACACTAAAAAATACAAATAAATAAATAAATAATTTTTTGGTAGCTTGCTTAACCATAGTAATTTTTTAATGATTGCAAGGCATGGTGTAATAACCCATTCAAAAATAAAATAAAGTTCAGTCATTTTTATATTACGTAGATTAAGAAAAGAATAAGAACACAATTGAAGTAAATAAAATTGAAGTACTAGAATAAAACAGACCCAATAATATAGGGACCAGCCTAAATAAAATGAAGCAAACTTTAAGGGGGAAGGGAGGGGGCAGCTTGGTAGAAAAATTGGATAGCCAATTTGTCCCTCATTTTCACCCCTTTTCCCTTTCTCTTCCTCCTTCACTCTCTTTACTTTTTACCATTTTCCCTCATCCATTTCTCAATTAAAACCTTGCCTACTTAACTTAAAAAGAAACTATAAAACAAAGTTAATTAAAGTGAAGTTTACTTATATTAAAGTTTGGAAGGCTTGAAGGATTGAAATTGAGGTTGAAGAGCCAATTTTCAAAAGTAATAAATTTTTTCATTTGGTCTTTAAATTGAGATGTTTATATGTATTTATTGATGATTTTGAAGTTGATTTGCATTGGGTTTGTTGAAATGAAAAATTGAGTTAGGTTAGGGTTAGGGCTTGAATCAAATTTGGGGATTTGATAATTAAATAATGAATTATGTTATTTGATGTTTGAAATGTGATAATAGTGGTGTAAAATTGATTATTGGACTATTGCTTAAGAAATTTTCAAATTAGTTAAAGATGATAAATAGTAAGATATGAAATTTGGAAAAGTTAAAAATGTTGAATAGTAAAATCTGAATTTTGGGATTTATTGGTCGATCGTGGAGTAAAGAGTTTAATTATGAGTTTTATTGAGTAAAGTGAAAGATTTACTATGAATTGATTTAATGTCGGGGGAATTAAATTATTTTGGAGGTTAAGGAAAAATAATAGATTATTTAGCTAAGTTCGGGAATAAATTGAATTGAAAATTGATGATGGATAATTGAAATTGATGATGGATAGTTGGTTATATTAAAGTGTAAATTGGATTATTAAAGAAAGATTATAGAGTGAACTTGAAATATAGTTACGTAATTGTTTAGAATTGATTGAGAAATTAAGAGTTTAATTAAAATCATCAATTCGAATCTTTCATATGAATTTCATTCTCATAAATTATCTTGTATTTTGATTTCTAGAGTAATTCATTTGTTTTGAATTATTCTTCGATATATGATGTTGATGATTATTCAATCATTTTGTATCATTAGATTCTTCGGAGTAGTCGACTCTATCTCGACAATCTTGATTTCATTCGATCATTTGATT